TATTTTTCCAACCTTACACTGCACTGGATTGTTTACGAATTAGATGCACTGCACTGTATACGGTATTACACTATATCTGCGCAATATTGTATTGTAATATCATATCGTACGGCGTGTAAAGAGTCGTATAGTCTGAGTATTAAACTAACCAAATTGAGCAAGGTTGAGGCTCAATATCGTCTCGCAGATCATAAAAAAAGGTGAAGCTATTCGTAGTTAATTTGTAGCAGTATATTATTGCTAGATTATGTGAACGCTTGGAAAAGTTCCCCTAGACCAACTTTACGTTAGGCTGAGTTTAGACAGCCTACATCGTTGACTCAATAAACGTCGCTCGTCTTGCCTATGTGCAAGAATGAAGTAAAGGGATGGGTCAAAAGAGATCTCCACAGATTTGAGCCTTTCAAGTGTTATTTCAATCCCTAACCTGCTCCTGCGATCCCAAAGTGTGATTTTTGTATCAGAGAAGAGGCGTTCTGGCTCAGCAGACATCACAGGAATTGACAAAAGATTGGGGGTTTTCTTTGTAATACTTGAACGCCAGACAATCTGACCTTCCGTGTTACGGACGATTTGATCCCTTCCAAATGATGTATGGTCCCATATCTTCGACATACGCTTGTTCCTCTTAAATTGAAAGGCTGATGACGGCGAATTGGACTTATCTCCAACGTCAGAATTTTCATTGTCGCTGATAATTGACAGATCATGAACTAGAGATGATGCACCTGTGAGGGAAGCGCTGATACCTGAGTGTTGACAAGTCGTCATCTTATGAGAATAAGAGTGGTTGATGAATTTGATTAAATTCCAGAGGCTGATACGCTTCATCGGCGAACAACCCAGAAGATTGGCACCTTAGCAATGCCTGCTAAATATGGCCATATACCTCGTACTATTCAGAGTAGACTATATTTGCACTGTATGATATCCTATCATACTATATTTGAATGGCCTTGCACTGTATTACACAGTTTGCGATATTTCTTGTGACCTTTGGCCTCCTACAGCCTCGCAGATGAAGTGCTGTATGTTGCTGATTTTCTGAGGTAACTGAATACGATGAAGACAGTCAGCGTTGATCTCACAAAAAACATTTCGTCGTCGGTGCGAAGCTGATGGGGATTCTCCGTACTTAGTGCTCTTGATTTGGAGTTGCAGATACATGTATCCTCTTCTAGATCAAATGGCCACTTCAGTTCATCTTTGTATTTTGCTCAACTCACTTTTTCAACGTCTCAATCTTCAAGAGTGTGCTGGATATTGCATATCTGTTTTTGAACGGCATCTATTGCTGTCCCTGCTATGCCATGCCTAAAATCCTGCTAAAATATCCCGTTGGAACAGTGAAACACACCTGCTGACAATCAAACAGATACCCAAAAGCTGGCCATGCAGCAGCGAAGGAAGCCTGAAAATCTAAAAAGAAACAAAAAAAAGATGATATCCAAATCCTGAAGTCAAATGGCAACTCCAGCCAAATCTATGCACTTTTAATGCCACCGAACGCCTAAAAAGGAGATCAATTGTCTCGTGCCTTGCATTCAATACCGTCCCCCAATCATCCTCCAAATAAGTGGGCACGCCCGAGGTACAGAGCACTAGTAGTTGTTCGCCCAGTCAGGACGGAAGTAAACGCCATGGCCCACGTTGACCTGAACCTCGTATTTGGGCGGCACGTTGGCGATAAAAGATTGTACGTTCCATTGCTCTTCAAATACACTGATGGAGCTGAATATCCGCACATACTCTGCCCAGGCGATGTAGATCGTTCTGGAGGCTTTGCGATCGGCAGAGAACACAATATTTACGTCGCTCTCAGGGATACCTCGGACTGCATCGTCTCCCTGTGAGCTTGCTGTCAGCGCTTCTGTGCAATAAAAGTTTCAAGTCGTGTCTGAGCTACTCACCCATCCCATGGTTGCTGATTATAAGCGTCTCTTTTCAAGAATCAGTCTTCTGCAACAAAACATTAATTTTATGGATATCATCTCTAAAACTCTCAAGGCTTACTCAGTGGTCGTTATTGACAGGATCTACCGCTGTCCGTGGTTGCAAACTTGTACGTGGGCCAACAAACGCCAGCACTGCTTGGGCATTGTCAGTCTCTTGTGTCAGTTGGATCGATAGAGTTGGATCTCACGGGAAGAGAACGTGGGTATTTAAGTAAGAACTTTGCGGCTTTTCCGAAAAGATTGCCAAGAGTCTGATGTTTCCCAGCTAATCTCCTGCAGGACATCTTAGTCTCGACCTTGACGTGGTTTTATATCAAGACCACCACAATGTATCGGGGACGTATCCCAAGCACCTACGCTGGCAAACCTGAACCTTCCCCGATTCTCTTTTCCGAGTTAGTGTCAATCCAGACCGGCATGTTAGGAGATTCAGATTTTTGGAGTCCAAAATAGAAATCATTCGCCAACAATTGCCTAGCCGGATCTCTGCCGATGCTGATAGAACAGTGCGACCCGACTACCCGACTACAGCCATTGCCAGCCATGCGTAAACACCGGGCATCACCAGAAACGCCTTTCTATCATTTATATCTCCTTTTGGACACTTCTGATTTCGAGCAGAATCTATTGAGAATATTGCTTTGAGCCTCAACGCGAGTTCCAGCCTCCACTAGGTCTTCGTCTGAACAAATGTATTGCTCCACCAGAATCTAATTTTGATCGCCAAGACATTGATAGTTAGTACCTGTCAGGCACATAAGCCACGTTCCTACATGTCTCAGCTCCCCAAAATTTAAGCAACAAACCTGATGGGTGATACGAGCTACAATTCGTGAATGCTGCTAATCTGTCAAGCTTGCAGGTCCAAAGTCCATCGAATCATTGCATCAGATCCCGTGATGTCCACAACATGTGCTGTAACTCAAATACCAAGCCTTCCTCATCTCACCAGCATGCACAGCATACAAACTGGCATGGCATAAGCCATAGGCTCACGCATCCTCTAGTCAATATCTTCTGTTGACGCCAAGGATAATGATTGCACATATCCAGCCATAGCTGACGTTGGTTGTTCCGGCTTACGGATCCTATCTGAATGCAAGACTATTAATCACACCTCCACATTCTGGAAGAGGTTCCCGAGGGCTTTCGACTAGTCCCAGCTTGTAAGAAGTCCAAAATCACTAGCATGTGAAATGAACCAGTTCCTTGTTATACCGAGTTATCAGTCATGGTCGAAGTTGTTGGCAGTTACCATGCATGGAGTTGCACCGAGCTCTATTAGGATATATCGGGATGCACCACGAGGCGTCAGTACCAATGGATTATGGCAGATGTCCCTCAAGAACTGCACCTCCGCGTACCAGGGAAGAAAAGTGCGCTGTCTGTGAGCATCTCACTCCATCAACACGCCGTTGAAGATGTCATAAGACTTGGCGACCGTTTTCGGATAACACCACGGTCTGTCAAAGGACGAATGCACGTGTCTGTATCAATACATATCTCTACTAGGAATATTCAGACATGCCAGGTGTTGGCCTTAAAAACGAAGTGGTCCAAAGTTGGCTTCCGATGTTACATTCGTAGTCGGCAAGTAGCTATGTCACTGATTATCTCTGAGCTAACTCCAGAAGCAGACGAAGAGCGGCTGAACAATAAGCCGAACAACAGACGCATGGGCAGTTCGGCGGAGACGACCGCAAGATGACAGCCTGGGGGCCTGGGACGAGCGCTGTCGTGCAGATGTCACACCTAACGCTAATTCTGATTAACGGTCGCTAATGGTCTCGATATAGTTTGACCTTTCTTCAATTCCTCACTTAGCAGCATCTCAAGACTCACAGAGCTCAGAGCGTTTTGCTGAGAGCTCGCCTGCCTCGATTGCAGCTCAAGTACATGAAGCACGACCCACTTCTTCGGATTCGCTATATCCCTTCTCATTCTCAGTTGCCTTTATTTGACTTCCCATATTATTCCTCTATCTCTCACATCTCTTCCCGTGCCTTTCTCCATAACTACAAGCTGCGTGGTGAAATACTTGTCATTCCTCGCTAGTACCTTTTTCTGAGAAGACTTCAATCGGTCTCCTAACACAGGTTGATAATGAACTTCAGCTCAAGACCGCGACTCAGGGCCGATGAACGGTTCTCCGAAGCCTGAGGAGCTGATTGTGCTTACTCTTGTGTGACCAGCTTGTAACGACACAAATGAGGTCCAGAAATCCAGAAGAGGCACATGGGTGTGCGCTCGTACAAAGGGTATGGATTCACTTATATGTGATCGATGAATGAGACCAAAAGAATGCAGAATACATATCACGAACCCCCCTCCGCGCTTTTATGCGCAGCCCATGCCTTGGCTCGCTTAACAACATGCAGATGCCTGAGGCACTCAGAACATATCATGGCTGTCACACAGCTGTCACCGCCTGTTTGACACTTCGGCTACACAGGACAGGTAGACCAATGGATGTCAGATCACAACATTGAATAATCCACAGATACCAGATATCAGAAGCGATACAAGTATGTTGTTAGAGGCGACTTCGGACAACGTATGTGCCTGCTCTGGACAGCAGCTTTACAGTCCCATGAAGTTGGGCAAGTCACCCATCAACCAGCTTCCGTAAAGTGAGCTGGCATCTTGATTTCCTGTTTGAAGGGTTTGCCCATTATTTCAGATAGTTCGGAACTTAGAATACATATCAAGCTTCGGGAGTACGAATACAGTTCACGGCGTTAGGAGTATTCACCGGCATAGAATTGGAGTCTGGCCTGTAGTAGAACCACCTCTCTTGCAGTTGCAGCCATGACTTTTCGTCGTCTCGTAGAATGCACTTCATTGTGTATCAAAAACAAGAGTTTGCTCCCCATGAATCCAAAAACCTAGAAGGATCAAATTTCGGCTGGACTTTCCGCCTCCGTCTTTCCTTCTTCCCATTCACTTGCACGCATGCAGTCTAGTCGAATATCCGCCTCCACACATACATCATTGCCATCCCAAATTCGCAAAAAAAAATGCAAAAAGTTCAAACACTTGAGGTTTTGAACCACACCTGATTTGAACAGATAACCTTTGGGTATTTCCATTTCTGGAATCCAACGCGCTACCGTTGCGCTGCGCAGAAGTTAGTTTAATATCCCGTTAAATTGATGTCTTAAGCAACTTACCCAGCGGTCCAATTGATGGCTGAGATGATCAGGTCTTTATTATATACCTTTGCTACAAGCACAAAGGTGATTCACTGGCCTAGTAGGTTGGTAAGTGGAGGTGCAATAAAGGCCACGTGCAGGGGGAAGTCGAGGTAGCTCACTGTCTCACTGTCTTATGAAATTTCATTACGAGATTGGAGATGCCTCAACTTGCTATTCCAAATCGTCGTACATATGTATTCCCTTAAGCAAATGTAACGCGATTTCTTGGTATTAGGCGACGAGCTGTTTGGCCTACCCGAATAGTCTGAAAATGCGGCCGTTCATGCTTCGATCTGACCAGAAGCATGAGGGCGCCAAGACAGACATTTTCGCTCTCGGGTAAACTATCTATTTCATCATGACTGGGCATAGGCCATACCCAAAGTACGACACTGGCGACGACGAAGCCAAAATTTGACAAGTTATATTGCAAGGCCGATTTCCCTTCATTTGATGTAAGCCTATGTGGAAACGTGGCTCGTGCGAAGAGAAGCTCTTGAACCGCACTATCTTATTCACGCTGTACATGGACTTTCGGGCGACTGAAATCCACCATACTGGGCTTGCCTGCATGAGCTGTCCATTTTTGCTTGACATATGCGACACATCATCCAAAACACCCATCTTTGGACTGGCTGGCTGACTGGAACAAATTGGAAGCTTCAGTGCTAGTGGTGATCTGATGCCGAAGTTTCATGGCCTTAGAGAAGATCTTGGGACACTGATGAGGTCTTCTGGTATATGTCCCGTCGGGCAGTTATCGCGATGCATAAAATAGATAAAGGGTTATCGCAAGATCTGAAGGATCGACTAAGTCTCATCGCTTCTTTCTGCTGAAGTGGATTGGAGAACAACTTTCCAAGTCTTATCAATATGACTAGGCTGTATAAATACCAGCACCCTGCAGACAAAGTCTACGGCACTCTGAGTCTCGTTCCTCGACGTCTGGGGAGCAAGATTTCCCCGAGCTATCGACTGAAATATCAGGAGGTCTACAAGACCGCTTTCTTGGAATACACAAAGCTTGTGCAACGCCTAGAGCTGTTAATATTTTGCAATCTTCAGCATCGCCTCCAAGCATGCCCTTGTGGGTGTCTCTAGTTAGAATGTGCCCGTCAAGACTTTATCGTTATTTCGAATCAGTGCTTTCTCATGCGGCTTCTCTTAATATTAGATGACACTCGGAACTGCATATATCTTGGAGGTTACGGGATTGTCCGTCGCAGCTATCAGCACTCGATGAGACAAAGTTGTGGACAATAAGTCTGATATGTTCGACATCGTGAGAGGTGAGCTTGACAACACAAGGGGGCCTCAGACCGTTGAGAAATCTTTCTGGTTATAATCTCCAAGTCAGCTGAGCTATGCAAAGCGTTGTACGGACTCGATTGACATCATCTAGTTGATGAAATATCTAAATTACGCCCCAGACTCATCCTACCTTGATAATAAGGAGCTGACTCTTTACGCGTCCAGACAACCTGTCCAAAGAGCTGAAATGCGACCAACATATTTCCGGAAGCTTGCTAGAAGCACATGCCTGCACGATCTCGCTCGGTTGGCTGTAAGAACATGCCCGTAGGATATCTCACGTGGACGTCAAGACTCGGTGACCTGCAGGATCTCTTAATATTAGTAGCCGAGTCAGGCTTCAAGGAGCACTACAAGGAACTCATTCCGTGGTAATAGATGAAGCTCAGAATCTGCGGACTGAGTCTCTTCACCACGAGTGAGGGCCACATCGCTTTCGGCCCCGGTGACTGCGAGTCAGGTACGTACCCTAATCTAATCCCCTACACACCAATCAAAACCCGCTACATGTATCTGACATAGACGACATTATCTGCACGTCTCCATTCTCATCCTCATCTTCCTTCGTAACGGCTTACGCTGGACCAAAATTCATGCATCGCCGTATCTGTCAGATTCCTCAGTGACTGCTCAACCACGGCCTCGCACTCCCGCGGCGACAGCCCAGCCGCCGGCAGCGCCCTGGTGCATGTGCTGGGAAATGCACTCTGGCAACTCCGCACCATCGAACGGCTGACGCCAGGCGGTTAAGGGGCACGTGAGGCGCCACTCGAAGACGTCGATGAGGCCCACTTCGAGCAGCCAGTGATGGTGTTAGAGAGCGCGTAAGACGTCGCATCTGATCACGCGGAAGCCTGGGGGCTGTTAGCTTGGGGTTTGGGGTTGGGTGGTAGAAATTTGGGGATGGGGATTTGTGGGCTTATCATGGCCAACGAGCTCGACCAGCGTTGGATGGCGGCATCTTTTATGGTGGCGTCGCCGGCGCAGGCTACGACGAAGTCTTGGGATTCGGTCCAGCCGCTTTCGTTGATGTTGTCGAGAGCTTGCTTCATGACAAATTTTGTGTCGCTGTCAGCATCATGCATATTTTGAAGGAGGTTGCTTAAGCGATGCACGTAGCTCCAGAGCTATGTCGGACTTTTAGTATGGTGCTTTGCACAAACCAGCTCGGAGGTAAATGTACTGGAAAACGTTAGGACGTAGTCTATGAAGTATGGCACACACAGGTTGGGGATCAGACGCCAACATGTACTCTGCTTACATCAAACTTATGCGGGAATGCCTATCTAACACAATAGTCTTTGCACTAGCTAACACCTTTCAACATGATGCCCACGCATCTGTCTGCGGAGTAACCTTCACGGGTCCTCCGCATCAATAGTAGTAGCTTTTGTCCGAAATGTATAGAAGCTCTTAACTAGCGGACAAGCAGCTTTCATTTTCCTGCATCGATGGTGGAACCTCAGCCGTGACTGACATTTTCTCCAACCCTTCTTAGTGTTTGAGAGACATGCGATTAAGCAGTGACCGACATCTTCCATATTCGCTTGCGATACTTCTGGCTGTTCCAGGATCAGCTTTCACCACCCTCGACAATACAACAGTTCAAGACTCACCTACAACTTTTTTCGTGAATTGATTTTTTGATTGACCCAAAACACCATCTTCAAAGGCTTTTCTAGCCCTCAATTTTCCTCTTTTAAGCTTTTTTCCCTTCAGGAAGGGCGTTGACACGTCT